TTGAGTAATGTCTACTTATACTGGAATTTGAACAAGTTTCTTTTCTAAAGCTAGGATTTTCAAAAACTGGGGCCTGCATTTAAGATAGTAATGTGATAATTTGATTCCTGACCACATGATCTCATTTTCAAAGTCTTGAATACAAGATGACGGACCACCTGCAAGAGTAGATCCTTACAAGCCTAAGGTGACTGCTAGAAGTGCAGTGCCAAAGTAGTCAACATGAATGGTACCCTTGCTTGGGTACTGAAGATGCCTTGAGATTGTGATGTCTTTATGTCAAAGGCTTAGTTAGTTCATTTCCAATTTGTGATGGCATATTTCACTCTATGAATACAGTTAATATTAAATAGCAAATTTTAGGTCTGACCTGTGTTATGCAGTTGCTGAGAAGGAGGAAGAGCGAACAGGAAGGAGAACAGGTACATCACATCCACAGAACTCATAAAAAGTACTTCCTTCTGTGGGTTTCTGAAATTATTTTATTACAGTTCGCTTTTGTGACATGTAACCTTTCATACCATAATAAAATCCATACACATTGTCACAGTTGTTTTGTACATTTTATCTATCAGAATTGCTTATGTAAAATGGTTTTTTGCTCCTCTAGGCATGTGTTGTTTTTTTCCTGTCTGGGAAATTTTTTGCCATAAACATTGTGATTATGAATATGATGAGTTAAGAAAAATAGCTTATAATAGTACATGCTCTGTGAAAGAAAACAGCAAAATACAGAATCTTTTCTTGCTCCTCATAGGCTAATGAGATTACCTCTGATATAAAGGAGGGGCTTCTACTGACAGTGGTGGGCACCAGGTAACATACCGTGTGTGCCATTGTCATATATTAATACTCTTGGGTATGATCCTGCCTTGGCTAAAAATGGATTTTGGCAAAAAAGGTACAGTAGGTGAACATGACACCATTTTCTTGTCTTACCCCTCATATAAAATGAATATATAAGCATATATACCCCACATATAAGCAGTGAATACTGCTTACTGTGTCTACTCCTTAAGGATAAAAAGTAGCATAGGTAGTAACTTTAGAACTTTTAATTTTCTTACTCTTGATTACTTTAATTCAGGACATATGATAATAAATACTGTAGAAGATATTGCTAATTTCAGATATACTGTAACTGTGAATAGATACATACTTTGCAAGTGCAATGGTAAACCAAATTAACCATGAAGTTTACACCCTCATTTGGAGAGATAAGTTTATTGCATCTGACTCTTGTGAACTGTCCTGTGGTAATTGGCCAAACTCTTTGAGTTGACACCCTTACTTGGTCAAAGAAGCATTTGCATGTAGTCTAAATATATTCACTGTTGTTTCATCCAACTTCACAAGAACAGGATTAGATATTTATCTAGGTTTCCTCCTGAACCGGAATCTTAAAGTGTGCCCTCAGGTACACTGCATTAGAAGCATATGATTTTTTTTCCCCCAACCTTCAGTAACAGGTATTTTAAAAAGTTTAGCCTTTGGGGCTTTTTTAAGGGGAAAATACATATCTGTATTCAGACAATATGAAACTTCTGGGTTCCTCAGACTCTTTGAATTTTCTCTCTTGTTCAGGCAATGTTAAATAAATTATTGTTACATGATGTGTAGTCTAATGTAGAGTGTAATATAAGAGGAAGTCTCATTACAGGGCCTTATGACTTGACACAGCCCCAGTGAGGTTTGATCCTGTGTGTGATATGTTACTTCACAAGATGGAGGAGATGTGTGGGCAGCTATGCCCCAGGACACACATGCACAAAGAGAGAAGCTCTAAGTAACAACTTAGAGAAGGGTTAGTGCATCTGTGACTGCGTGTGCAGTGTACTCAGAGGCAATACTTGGGGATGAGGTGAAGACCGCTCTAGTACTGTTCTTGTACTGTCTCTGAGACAGAGCAGTCCCAGCAGAGGTTCTTGTTTGGAGCTTGAACTCTGTGCCAGGACAAATAGTACACCCTGACTTGGAGCAACAAGAATAATCCTTTCTCTTCAGGACTACATTACCACCTCAGTTATCATCTTCCAGTACTTTGGTCCAATAAGCCTCAACTAGTTGCATGTTTTGTTAGATCAGTCTTACCTCCCATGTTACTTATATTCTCTTAATCCATTTCTGTCATAATCTTAGAAGAGTAAATGAGCTACCTTCGCTGCCACTTCTGTGCAACCTTACTTATGGCTGAGCAATGTGCTGTCCAAAAGGGAAAGGAAATTTATTACTTGCCACTCTAACACAGCATAGACATTAATATTCTCTCTGACTTACATGGGACCTTTTCTAAGACTAACAAACTTAATGAGATGCTAAATGTAGCTAACTTTAAACGAGGAACTTGAGTTTGCTTTTGTAATACTGACTTTCTTACACTGGAAGGTCATTTGAATGTCTGCTAAGAATTACTGAAATATGTATTGATTTGAGAGGCTTTTATTATTATCCCTATTCTATGCCTTCTACTTTGTCCTCTTTTCTGTCAATAGGTAAATGACTATCCCTAGGTCTGGTATATAAAGTAATAAATGAATAAAGTGCACAGAGATCAACAAGACTACAAATATCAGGGAAGATAGATGCTTCAGTCAAAATAAACCTTTATTAAAAAAAAATCCCACACCCAAAAAATCCCCCAGCTCAACCCCTCCCCAAAAGTAACAAAAGGATAAAGGTGAACTATCTGAGGAAAAATAAATGGCACAGATAATTCTCCAGTGATACGCTGTGGGATGTCAGAAAGCCCTCCTTGCTTTGTCCATTTAGGAGACTGGACAAACACTGGTATGTGGGCAGGAGGGAGCAACCGTGCTGCTGCAGGGAAATGGGCTGCATGACATAATAGAATTTAACAGTGAAAAATACCTGTGATTTTCTCTTGGAGCCTTATGGAGTCACAGATGACAAGTTGTCACAGTGGAAGGAGGTCATCGAGGTTACTAGAGAAACACCTTTTTAATCTCCCCTCTCCAGTGTGTGAGTGGCAGGTGGGAACATAGCTTGGAGCTGCTCATTGCAAGAAATGCCATTTCCACCAACAGGTATTTCCTCTGTGGATGTATTGGGGTGTTCTCCTCCTCCTCCTCCCAACCCCCCAGCACCCTAGGCTGCCTCCACACCTATGGAGGAGGTGAGGCTAAAGCACCCTGGGAGTCTCTGCAGGCTGCCTAGTTGTCATGGGTCATAAAAATACAGCATGGTGTTTAAACCCTGATAACAGAATCACTTTGGTTGGGAAAGACCTCTGAGATCATCGAGTCCAGCCTAGGACCAAACACCACCATAACCGAACACCACCATGCCAACTAGATCAGGGTACCAAGTGCCATGTCCAGTCTTTTCTTAAACACCTCCAGGGATGATGACTCCACCATGATCCTTCTTTGAGCCAGGTATTCAAGTTCTGGCTCTGACCCTGGCTGGAAGTACTCTTTATCTTTCTTGCTTCAGACCAGGTCACCCCAGCAGAGAAAAGTCCAGTCATGTAATCTTAATCGCAACGAAAAACCATATGGGGGATAAATTTCAAATCTGTTACAGAGACTTTTCAAGGAAATCCCTTCTTCCCTGGTACCTCTGCTAACAACACTTAAAATTACTTCCCTGCTGCTAAAAGACCCCCAAGGAAATAAGCGGCTGGTTGTGTGTTAACTTCACCTCGGTGCAGCAGAGAGGGATGGTTTTAGTGCAAAATTAGAAATTGTGCTGGTAAGACAAAGCAAAAAGACAGGCTGGAAACATTCTGGCACAATGCCATCATCATATCTGTTACAGAAACACTGCAGACAGAATAAGGGAAGTGTAGAGGAAAAAAAAGTCACAAGGCTGGCAGCTGCGAGCTGGTGTCTTCATACCTTTCATAAATTGGGAGCATTTTGAATTGTGCCTTTCTTTGTTAGGTAAAATATATTTTTTATTTCAGTGTGCATTCTAATGAGAAGAGATGTCTGGTTCAATAATATTATCTTGTATTTATCTGTGGCAGTTAATGAATTAAAGGGGTCATTGTGCTGGCTAGTCCATAAACATGATGATAAATTATGTGAAGAAGCGTTTGAGGACAACCTGAAAACATTTGAATGACGTCCCCCACATTTATTTGCTTGTTACTTATAATACCCTTACCATTCACACATTTTATAGGGATAATACAAATAAACCAAAATTAGAATTCTGCTTTAGATGAGCAAACAAATTTGATGAACATTTAATGAAATTTAATGAACATTAAAACTGGAAAAGCAATTAAATTACAGTATGGTTTTAAAGGATCCCTCTTCCTATGTATATATATTGCAATTACTCTTAGCTTTACTATATGTTTGAAGTTTCATGTCTAGTCCCTTGCTTTCCACAGAAGAAAAAGCAAGGCAAATAATACATGTTTTCAACTGTATCTGCTGAACAAAACATGCAGTGCATATGTGTGTGTGTGTTTGTGTGTTTGGATATGTGTAATTTCAAATAAATAGAAGCATCATTATCATATTGTTCAAAGCAAAGCAGATTCTTCTCAGTCACCTACTGATTTAAACACTGTATCTGGTGCTTAGTTTATGCTGGCAGGCTGCCAAGTGAAAGCAATTTTGTGCAATAATAGCAAAATTAAGAGGTGAGTGTTGCTGTTTTACAGCAGGACATGGCAAAACCCATTTCCTTCTGTCAGCTCTATCTTGATTACACACACAGTCACACAGGCACGCTCTCTTACACACTTACATGTGTGTGCACATGCTCTTGTTCTTTTTGTTTGCTGTTTTTCCTGTGGGTTTTAACTTGAGGTCACTGAAACCAGAAAAGAGGAAGAGTATATACCACAGTGTTTGAAAGCAAATGAGAGTAAAGGTCTCACTTTGTGAGGAAGGAGAACCAAACAAAAAAAACCCCAAACAAACAAACAAAAAACCCCCAAAAAGACACCAAAAAAAGGAAAACAAAAAACCTACCCCAATTATTGTTCTAACTGTGATAATACTTTCTTTTGCTCCCACTGGCAGGTGTCCTAGTGGTAAATGTTACATGGAGGAACAAGACTTACGTGGGAACACTGCTGGACTGCACAAAGCATGACTGGGCCCCTCCTAGGTAGGCAAACATTGTGATTCTGTTTTTTCTCTGTTGTATTTTAACCCCCAGTCTCGGCCAAGAGACTGTACAGAGATTAATAAAACACAACTGGTTATAATTGAAAACATGCACCAGTGAAAAGAGTCGTTCCGGATTAAAATGTGGGGTGGAAATTCTTTTTTACTTTTCTTTTGTATTTTTGAGAAGGAAGGGGAAATACAGGGGACTCAGTCAGATGGCAATTACTTTAGAAATGCATTTATGTAAGTTTTGAAAATTTTTCACTCCATTGTTCTAATTAGTTGGATGTGTCCTTACCATTTTTGTCCTTTTTTAATGACTTTCCCTTTGCGACTGTAAAACTCTCATTTATCAGAAGGATATCATTCCTTTAACATGTGTGAAGATTCTGTTATGGGAAGGGGTGGTGTTTTTTATTTTTTTAGTTTATGATTCCTGATGATGAAATCTCTTGTTCGTGCAGGTTTTGTGAATCACCAACAAGTGACCTGGAAATGCGTGGAGGACGGGGCAGGGGAAAGCGGGCAAGGTCCGCTGCAGCTACCACTGTACCTGGTAATGATGCAAGTTTTGCAGAGTCCAGAGGGCTTCAGAATAAGAATCGAGGTGGTGCCAATGGGAAGGGGAGGAGGGGCAGCCTTAACTCCAGTGGGCGCAGAACACCCCCCAACTGCGCCATGGATGAAGTAAAAGCCAGCCCCTCATCCACGAACAAGAGGAAAACTAAGCCTCCTATGGAGCTAGATTTAAACTCCAGTTCAGAGGACAATAAATCCGGAAAACGTGTTCGTACTAACTCTAGAAGCACTCCCACCACCCCACAGGGGAAACCGGAGACTAATTTTTTGGACCAAGGCTGCTCTTCTCCAGTGCTGATTGACTGTCCTCACCCCAACTGCAACAAAAAGTACAAGCACATTAATGGATTACGTTATCATCAGGCTCATGCACATTTGGACCCCGAAAACAAGCTGGAGTTTGAACCTGACAGTGAAGACAAAATTTCAGACTGTGAGGAAGCACTGAGTAATGTGGCACTTGAATGCAGTGAGCAAAGCACAAATTTGCCAGGCTTTGATCCACTAAAAGCACCAACATCTCCTTCCTCCATTGCTACCCCAGGGACTCCCAAGGGAAAGAGGGAACTGACCAGCAATGGCCCTGGTTCAGTTATCAGTTCCAAAACTGGAAAGAATTCTGGCAAAAAGAAGGGTCTGAACAGTGAACTGAACAGCCTTCCAGTAATTTCTAATATGGCAGCCACACTGGATAATTGCTCAGTAGCAGATGGCAATTTGCAAACTGAAATGCCGAAATTGGAGGCTGAGGGCTTAATTGACAAGAAGAGTTTGGGTGATAAAGGCAAGAAATCGAACAATTGCAAAGTGGATAAAAACCTTTCCAAACTGAAAACAACCAGGCCCATTGCCCCAGCGCCAGCACCAACTCCTCCCCAATTAATAGCTATACCTACTACAGCCTTTACAACCACCACTACAGGGACAATACCGGGATTGCCCTCTCTAACAACTACTATTGTTCAGGCTACACCAAAGAGCCCTCCACTGAAACCTATTCAACCAAAGCCCACAATTATGGGAGAGCCAAGCACTGTAAACCCAGCTCTCACATCACTCAAAGACAAAAAGAAAAAGGAGAAGAGAAAGCTGAAGGACAAAGAAAGCAAGGAGACGGGCAGCCCCAAGATGGATTCTAAGCTGGGAAAGCTGGAGGATTCAAAAGGGTCTGGGAAAGACTTATCTGGACATTTTTTAAAGGACCATCTCAACAAGAATGAAGTGCTAGCTAATGGACTGTCAGAGTCTCAAGAGAGCAGGATGGCAAGTATTAAGGCTGAAGCTGATAAAGTTTACACGTTCACAGACAATGCGCCCAGCCCTTCCATAGGGAGTGCCTCCAGGATGGAATGCAGCACTTTGGTGAATGGACAATCTGCTATGGCGCCACTGCATGTGTTGACACAAAATGGTGCAGATAGCACAGCTGCCAAAACCAACAGCCCTGCTTACTCAGATATTTCTGATGCAGCTGATGATGGTGGCTCTGACAGCAGGTCAGAGGGCATGAGGTCAAAGGCCAGCTCTCCGTCAGATATTATTTCTAGTAAAGATGGTGTTGTAAAAGGACATTCTTCAACCACAGCACAATCGGCTCAAGCAAAAGAGTCTCATTCTCCCTATTACCATGGCTATGATCCTTATTATTCCCCAAGTTACTTGCACTCTGGACAGGTCAGTGCCCCAGCAGCTGGGAACAGCAGTACCCCACAGACACTGAAGATCAAAAAAGAGGCTGAGGAAGAGGCTGAAAAGAAAGAGAAGGCAGAAGCATCAGATGCCAAGAAAAGTGAAAGCACTTCCTCTAATTTGCAGCCGCCACAACATCAGTCGGTAATAACGCAAAGGCACCCTGCACTTGCTCAGTCACTTTATTATGGACAGTATGCCTATGGGCTCTATATGGACCAAAAGTCCTTAATGGCCTCTAACCCTGCTTACAGGCAGCAGTATGAAAAATACTACGAGGACCAGAGACTAGCAGAACAGAAAATGGCACAAACTGGGAGGGACTGTGAAAGGAAGAATGACCCCCCCTTGAAGGAGATTGGGAAGGATGACAACAAGCAGAAGAATATTCCATCTGCCACTATTTCAAAGGCCCCTTCAACTCCGGAGTCCAGCAAAAATAACACTAAAATAGGGTCATCAGTTCCTAACAAAGGTGAGGAGACAACCAAGTCACAGATCCTTTCCAATCACCAGCAGCAGCTTCAGTCGGAGAGTTTCAAAGCAAAACAAATGGAAAACCACCAGCTTATAAAGGAGGCGGTGGAGATGAAATCTGTTATGGACTCCATGAAGCAAACAGGAGTAGATCCGACCACAAGATTTAAACAGGTGAGATCACAGGAAGTGGAACAAGAGAGTCTAGATTTATCTTTAAGTCATGTGAGATTTTCTCCCTGGTTCTGATATGTTCTTCTACCTCTGCAGCCAAACAAGCTCCCCCATCCTTTTTTTACGCCGTATGGTATTGTAGTCTGTGAATAGACCAATAGACCTTCCAGCTGAGCTATTTGAAAAGAATAAAAAAAAAAATTAAAAATTCTAGTAAGGTGGTGACAGAACCTAGGCTTAAGACCTGAATAGACTATTTTAAATTATATACATGAATGAAATAGAATTAGATTTCTCTTTTAGATGAAAATTCTAAGCATTTTGCTTAGTTGAGAAATAAGAAATTTCAAGAAAAATAAGCAGCTTTCATTGCGAGAGGACTTAAAGCAGATTTGAAACATGGTTTGAAGTGTTTCTTTTTTTTGTTAAAAAAGACAGTTGGCATTTACTAAAGATGGGTGAGCTGGTTCTTTGAAGAGTTGACTTGAAGCATAGCTCTTTATCTTAACCCAAGGTGACCTTTTTGAAGCAGTTAAGTTCCCCTTCTCCCCTCAACCAACCTCAAGCCCCTACAGACCTACACAATGGATGAAATCCTCTCTCCATTGAAGTCAGTGATAGTTTTGCCATTGATTTCAGTGGAACCAGAATTTTATCCAGTGGCTTCATGCTGACCTTCCTAGATGTCTTCATTTGAGGCAATGCGACTGCCTCTGTGCATTGAACTGGAGCCTCAATGCTTGATGCTTTCATGTTCTGGTGTATGGTACATCCCAAACTTTACCCTTACGCACTGTCTTTCAGGATACAGTATGGTCAGGGGAGTGGGAGTTAGCCCTAAGCAGGAGAATATTTTTGCTGATTCAAATGAGTATTTGAACCAGACTGTCCAAGCCTCTAGTTGTGTGCTTATATTTTTGTGGCATGTGCCATAAATGTCTGTCAATTGCAGAAAATATTTACAATTAGCTTTTGCATTTTCTGTGTTAGAAAAAGAAGTTTTCCTGTTACTTCTTGGTACTGATTTGGTGTGATGTTTTAAAGAAATCACATACCTATGATATGTTTATAAACTGGTGTAATATAATGTGTAAAAAGGTATTTACAGTGCCCAGTACATGCTCTTTAAACCATGTGGTCCTAATCCTATAATTTATAATTACCTATCTATAATCCTATAATTACCCATGTGGAATTTTATGAACTTGAAGTAAGACTGTCAGCTGAAGAAGTCTGCTTTAATGTCTGACTTCTGCTGATTCCCAAATGGGAGGCAGCATTTTTTCAGCTAGATCAGTTTTTCATGTGCATTGTTCCAGGTATTCTAAGCACTCTAGCATAATATTAGCCAGTTTTAATTTTAATTTTGTGGTTCACAGATATTTTTTGCTCTCTAGTGGGAAAATCTCTCTGTGGGCTTTAATTAAAATGTTTTATGAATAGCATGGTTTCAGAACTTTGTTACAATGCATATGTATTTCATGATTAAACTAGTTAAAGGCATGAAGAAGGATATAAGATGAAGCAATTGAATTAAATTTTGATAATAGTCTCTTGCTCCTTCATGGGAATATTGGTTTGACTTTGAGCTCAAGGCATTCTGTAGCAAGCAAACCTCTCTTTTCTGTAATATGGATATGGTATTAAAATAGCTATTAAAAATACATTAACTGAAGTATGGGAAATATCAATAATGAACTTATTTCAACATCTAAGTTCAGAACAATTTTTTTCTCCTCTGTATTAGGATCCAGATTCACGAACATGGCATCATTATGTCTATCAGCCCAAATACCTTGATCAGCAAAAATCAGAAGAACTTGATCGTGAGAAAAAGTTAAAAGAAGACAGCCCTAGAAAAACACCGAACAAGGAAAGTTCCCTGCCTAACCTTCCTGTCTCATTAGCAAGCATTAAAGAGGAGCCTAAAGAGGTCAAGCGTTCTGATTCTCAATCAATGGATGAGAGCAAGATAAAAAATGATGATCAAAAGACTCCTGTAAATTGGAAGGACTCTCGGGGTGCTAGAGTAGCAGTTTCCTCACCAATGAGTCAGCATCAGTCATATATCCAATACTTGCATGCTTATCCGTATCCACAGATGTACGATCCCAACCATCCAGCCTATCGTGCAGTCTCTCCTGTCCTAATGCACAGCTATCCTGGTATGTATTCTGAAATTTGCTTTGCACCAATAGTTACAATTTTCACCCTCAAGTTGCAGTAAAGCCTACATTTTAATATTTCTTATAGTAGCTAGGGTAAATTAGAAGCTTCGTGGGTGGCGTTGTGTTGCTTGTGCTTCTACTAGGCAAAGTTCTGTAATTGAAACTGATTTAATACACGATGGTCCTTTTATGAACTGTCACAGTTCCCAGCTACAAGTTTCTCAACCCTTGACAGTCTGCTATTGCTGTTAGACTGACAGATAGTTTATTGCCTATAAAAATATTCTAAGCACTTACTGTCAGAAACGTTATAGTTACTATTCCTTTCACTTAAAGAGGACCCATAAATGTCTGAAATGGCTATCAACTGAACTCTCTTTATAACCTCCATTCATCAGGGTAAATTAGGTGATGAAATTGAAGAGCAAAGATGCCATTTGATAGTCATGTGATCTACTTTTGCTGTTATGCTCTGTTCTGACATTCCCTCCTCCTACCTTGATATAACCAAAATGTAAAAACAGTAGCTTGATGTGGTATTTATTGTTTACCTGCAGGAGCCTATCTCTCTCCAGGATTTCATTATCCAGTTTATGGGAAGATGTCAGGGAGAGAAGAGACAGAGAAGGTCAATACCAGCCCAAGCATCAATGCAAAAGCAACCACTGAGTCCAAAGCACTGGATTTGCTCCAGCAGCATGCCAGCCAGTATCGCAGCAAGTCACCTGTTGTAAGGCTTCCTCAATTGTTACTGAAGAGGGTTACATATGGGCAGGGGTAGAGAAAGAACATAATTTTAAGAAGCACACAATCTGGCATCAAGCTGTGAATGCATGAGTCTTCTTTATAGCACTGCTTAAAATAAAAGCAGTTTATGGTCAGGATGCTTCCGTGGCATAAACTGGAAGTGGCACGTAGCACAGTTCTGTCCTCAGAATCTTCCTATCTTGAATGGATTCATATGGAAACAAAGATTCAGAGGTACTTCCTGGGGCATAGTTTATTGTAGTTAAATGGGAAGCTCCTGTTTGGAAACAGATAATGAAATAAGAAGTTGGGCTATGGGATTTGGTAATATCCCCTCCTTGTATTTGCCAAGAATCCACATCTTTCAAGGAGCAGCTTACCAGCCCCGATTTCTGAAGATTTACATGTTGGAACAAATCCTGATATTTCACTTTCAGATAAGTTGGTGCTAGTTTTAATTGTGAGCAAGTCATTGACTGTAATTATAATTTGTAAAAGGTTTTCTGGCTATTCAGTCAGGCTTGATTCCCCAGAGTGCTATAGAGGCTTGCGAATTCGTTTACATCAGCTTTCAGCAGCTCAGCTAGGTTGTCCACGCATTGGCAAGCCAGCCAAGCTTCAGGAAAAAACTAGAAGTCGTTGTGGTGGCTTCAAGATGCAGTATGTTGCCTCAAAATCTCTGTGCCTTGGAAAATCTTCCGTTAGCTAGAAAGACTAGCTTTAGATAAGAATCAAGTGCAAATAATCAGTAGACAGACTTCTTCAGAAAAAATTAGCTTTATCATTACTATTCAAAAAGTGTTTGACAGGCAGGGGTAACTGTGGTTTTCTTGTGATTTCATCCCTTCTAAAATTCCCACATCAGTTTTCTTTCAATTTCTATTACTAGCCTGTGGAAAAATCAGCAGCTGAGCGTGAACGGGAAGCAGAAAGGGAACGAGACCGCCATTCTCCTTTTAGCCAGCGGCATCTCCATACGCACCATCATACACATGTTGGAATGGGTTACCCCCTCATACCTGGACAATATGACCCATTTCAAGGTGAGCAGAAAATTTCCAGTGGTGAGATTGGCTTGCTTGTAGGATTGTTGCCTTGACATTGGAAATCATGCCTACATGAAGCATTTTGAGTAGAGATCCCACTGTTAAATCAGAAGTGCTGATTTAGGAAGAAGGCTTGAAAATTCACAGCATGCACTAAGAGTATATTAATAGCTTCATGTCTGAGAAATACCAACTTTTGTTTCCGAAACTGGGTGTCAGAGCATTATTAAAGATGTACCAGTTAGGCTGTCATTCACATGAATGTTTTGATTCCTCCTGCAAACTGACATTAACTGGCTGGAAGGCAGTAAAAAATCCAAACCAAATAACCTCCTTTTTGTATAATGAGGGTTGTGTAAGCAATGGAGAAAGTGTAGCAAAGACAAAAGCTTTTTATACTGAACATATTTTATGTACAAGGCATTACAGTCACAAGGGTTTGCGCTTGTTATAATTTGACCATCTGAAAGAGGACTCTTTGTATTTTGGCAAATGCCGTGCACAAAGTTGCAGTCAGGGAAAAAGCACAGTAAGATGCGATTTATTCTCCCTAGGTTTTATACCAGTCTTTGAATGTTTTTTCTCTAACTGTGGACTCTGGCTGAATGAAAAAGAGATTTCCTCCCTTGCAGCAAAGTATGTGCTACCACAGTTGGTGGCTAAATGACATTATTTCTTTACGTTCACTTGATGCCTCAGTACTTATTTTTCCTGTGTAAAAGTCTTGACATTTCTCAGTTTGATTCAGTGATTCCATGTGCCTTTTGGGATGCATTATGCTTGTTCAGTGGCAAAACTGTAAAAATTTTAACTTATTATGAAAGTATTGTATTCTGAGCAGCTGGCATGTCGTTTCTGTAATTCACTGTGTCTTTTGATTCTTGTTGTTTCCTAGTACCTGTAATTTCTACTGAGCTTCCTCAGGAACTCATACAAACCACTTAGCATCATGCAGTGCAGTATTTGGAAAGGAATGCAGTACAAGTAGAAATGCTGTAATTTCTTGTAAAATATCTGTCAAGGACAATTCAGTTTATTAAATAAAGGTATATTGATCGCACTGGACAGACTGTCTTAACGATGTTGCCTGGAATATTTGCCATTTATATAGTGTTAAGCCCCACTATTTTCTGGCTGTTTGCCCTAGAGATGCTTCCTACGATTTCTTTGAGCACAAAAATCCATTAAAACCAGACGTACATCAACATCCCTTTGTTTCTTCTTTCCCTCAGGATTGACCTCTGCTGCCCTTGTTGCCACTCAGCAGGTGGCTGCACAGGCATCTGCATCTGGTATGTTTCCTGCACAAAGAAGGTAAATAGCCAGTAAATTATATATCATATCATTGAGAGGAGAAAGCAAATCTTAGATTTTTTAGCCTGATGGTCTGCAGTTCGTTATATGACACAGTGTTTAAGGTTGAGGAAAAACTTGGTATTTTGGGTTAATTGCAGTTTTGTTCTCTTTAGGGTGACATTTTGTCCTTAGTTGTGTCCTTTAACTGTAACATAGATCATTAGGAAAGAATAAGTAGTCTGTTTTCTGAGATTTTCCGTAGAGAATCCTTTAAGTGTTTGTATTAAGATAAAACAAGTGATTATGAAATATAATTTAAGATAATAATAATATTAAGATAATAGTAAGATCCAAATTTTTATAAAATTAGTTTAAAATTAATGTTCAGTTGGTTCTATTTATGACCAGGAAAACTTAGGATTTTATCTATTCTGCAGGTCTGATTTTCCTTTCAGAGAGGTTTGCTTGGGAGTTCGTTAGTGATGACACATTTGCTGCTCAGTTATTTTCTAGGTTTTCAGTTGAATTTACTCTTCAATTATCATCATTACTCTTCAAGAGAAAAGAGACTCTCCTGTATTATAATGATGCCATCTCAAGTGAAAAACCCAAAACGTCTTTAAAATTAGGGTTTTGTTCATCACTGCCATGTTAAAGCCTCAGAGTTTAATGTATTAAATAGTGCTGAAAATTCCAGGGTTATGGATTTCCTTCTGAAAGCTAACTCTGAAAACAAGCAACCGTGAAAGGCTCTTAGCTGGAGTTATTTGAGTGAGAAAGGTTTGTAGCCCTTAAAGAGCTGATGGATAATAGGGCATCCGAATCCATAAGATAACTTCCAGCACAGGTTACTTCTCCGTATGTTGTTCCTGGCAGGGGAGGGATTAGGACATGGCTTGCCATTTCTGCTGCTTGAGTTTGAGAATACTAGTACAGATTTCATTTCATGATGTATCCAAAGTGCAGAAAAAAAGTAAGAAGAAGGAATGCTGCCTACTAAAACATTCTTCTTTCTCTTTTCAGAGAATGATGAATTTGGGGATGAACATTGTCATGTGACTGGATCACATGAGGAAGCGCTTTATTACAGACATCAGTTCCATGGTGTTAATTTGAAATGCCTTAATGGCAGGCAAAAACCAGTCATTTCATTTTTGTAAATTGCAGATTTTATCACAGAGTAACAAATGTTGCTGTAATTAGACTTCTGTTTTTATATATATATATATGCGTATATATATATATACATATATATATAAAAATATATATATATTCTTTACTTTTTTTGTATCAGTACCAAGGCTCGCACACAGGGTCTGCTGCTAAGTTGCGAACCACACAGTAAATGGAGATATGTATTTGTCACGTTTAGAAAGCGTTAACCGCAAAAGGCTGTTGTTTCTTTTCTTCCTTTTCTTTTTCTTTTTTTCTTTTTTCCTTTCCAATTGTAAATAAATAATGTTACGTATCAGTGTGCCTGAACCTTGCATACCCTTCTGATATTTCCCACAAGCTCTCAGAGAGGCTAACTGTGATGACACTTTGGTACAATGTAGATGTCTATTTGGTGGTTCCTATTAAGATGCATCAGTGTAAAATGTTACTGTATTCACTGTTTCATTGTAATTGTGTATTGTGAAAAATATACCTTTGGAAGGCATGGGGATTCTAGTACCACAAAAACTGTGTTGTATATAATGTATAGATTTTAAATGGAGATAATGAGCATCTGTGAATAATGAAATGTCTTTTTTGATAATCTTGAATGGCAGATAACCTAATAGCCTGCATACAAGAAGACATCTGTGATTGTTCTATTACTTGAATAGTCCTGCAGTCTTTTTTTTAATGTTTACAATTACCCAGATTTAGAGGAGAGACTTTAATGCCATTACCTGTTTACTTGTTTTATGCTGTAATCTAGTTTATCTTATGTAAAACGTATATCGAATGCTTTCATTTTTTTACTTGCCTTAAATAATTCGGCAATCAGAATAAAGAAAAAAAGTTGCTTTTTTTTTTTTAAATTTCTGGGTGTCTATGGGCCACTTTGAAAGATGTGTCATAGCTGTAGATAGCAGAGGCTGCAGCAATGACACAGCTACAAGTTGTGCTCCTGCTGGGCCTGTGCTGTTGTCCTGTCCCAGCAGGCGATGCGGAGCCCAGGCCAGATGGCTGTGGGCCTCTTTCAGTTGACCCTGATAGGTTCAAAAAAGGCCCATAGTAACACTTTGGATGGTATTAGTGGAACTGAAATCTCTAATACCTGTTTTAGAGCAGCTCTGTATGCTATAAATTATAGGCAAATTTTTCCTATTATGTCTGTGTTGTCCCCCTTCCCCCCATTTTGAATAGATGCCTAAAAGCAGAGGAGCTGTCAATTAAAAAAATTCCTTTGCTGTGCTTAATCTGCATTACCACAAAATATTTATATTGTTTTGTTACAATGTGGTTAACACAGCACATAGTAATAGGAAATCACTAATCATGACATGAAAAAAAATCAGATTTACTGGTCAGTATTTGAGGCTTTAATTTTGGTCCTTTTCTGCATATCCCAGTTACGTTGATTGTCAAAACTGTTTTTTAAAGTTTTACTGGTTTTTTTTTTGTTTTGTGTTTGTTGGTGGTTTTTTTGACAGGGTGAATTACTGCAACTTAAAGGTTGTTCTTGAAGTCAGTTCCGTTTCTTCTACCTTGTGAATACTTAATACAGAAGGATGAATTAAAGATTCCCAACAGACAAGCACACTTGGACTTTTTATATTACTATGATGAATCTGCCATTAATATTGCTATAATTGTTTTATTTTTATAGGCATAAAATCAGTTCCCTTAGTGAATAGTTATAAGGTTTATTGATTTTTACTACACATCATTCATCTGTGGCTTACTATTATTGTCTTGTTCTGAACACATTCAGAAGTCTCATAGTGGTGACCTACTACAAGTTAGCCTCATAAAAAATGGGAAGGAAGGGGTGTTTTCTTTGAAAAAGGGGATATTGTGAATGCAGGGCTCTTGAAATAATAAATGCCTTATTACTTCTATAGTAAAGGCTCAGATGGCTTTTGTGTTGAAATGTACCATTGATTTTTTTTTTCCTGCCTAGACCAGTAATGCTTCCAGAGCAAAACACATCTTATAAATTCACACTATTGGTGATTTTGATTTAGTGTGGTTTGAGTGTAATAAGTAACTGGAATGAATTACTCTGATTGATACAGGGTAAGCAACAGTTAAAACTGCAATTATTGTTATAGCTTTATTGTATCCTTGAGGTCTGTAAGAGTGGCTAACATCCATTGCCATTTATTGTCTTCCTCCACTTAAGATTATTGTCTTCCATCTGGCTTTATTGTCTTCCGTTTGGTTTAACACTTGCCATACTGACCTCCTTAAAGGCTGTGCCACAGTGAGCGTGACTCTGTGGTTCAGCACTCCCCAAAGCCAAAAGGTACCCATGTCCGAGCATAGATGTGCAGCTACTTGGTCATCTCACCACTGTGTGAGCATCCAAAGGATGAGTAAACAGAAGCAGTTACACAAGGAACACAGTTTACACACATGGGAACTACAGAGGCTGCTCGCTGAAAAGGGGCAGCAGAAGCATCATGATACAGATATATTTGCACTCTGTTTTCCACAGGATGGGCTTATACTTTTTATTACTTCTAGCTGACACATTTACCACTCTGCCCTTCCAGCAGCAGCTATCAGTGACCTTGCTCCTGTTCTCCAGGTGTTGCTGGATGTTTTGAAAAGGTGAAGCTGGGCTTATGCATTACACTTAACTTGAGTTTCTAGCCTGTTCATGCAAATGCAGCTAGAGAAATTAAAGGTCTGTCAGTGCAAGCCCATCAGACCAAAAAACCCAGCAGGGACCTACTGCCTGTGGTGCTTGCGCTGGGAAAAAATAGATGTGAACAGAGAAGGGGTGGGGTGTTTTTTTAACAATTATGTAGCTCTAGTGGCTGAAAGAGGACAGGGCTCTAACTGAGAGAGCTGGCTAGCTATCAGGGTTAGACTAGGTCTGGTAAAAATGGGGACTAGGAGTAACATTTCTCCAGTTTTGTAATTTTAGATCCCCTGGTGGCCTTGGGTAGCACTTGAGAAGTCACTGAGCTAATTCTGTGCCATACCATCCCTTCCTTGTTTCTGACAGTTGCACTGGTTAAACTTAACCATTGGGTCAGTAGTCCCACTTGTCACACTGACAAGTGCTGTCAGAACAAGGGCCTCCAAAAGGACATGAAGTTAGAGAATCCCCAAATCCATCCTAAAACACACACCAGGGATTGTTGATAGCACAAAACCTGGCATAAGGACAGGACACCACAGTGGCCTTCTGTAGCTCACCACCGTGGCTCTTCTCATGGAACCAGTGGAGTCAAGCAGGAAATCTAGTTCATATTTCCTTCTGGCATCAGCTGTCTTGTCACTATCTTTATTACAACTAGCAAATGTATTGTCCTCAGCTTTCTGTCTCATAATCTCACTCTAATGTTTACTTGCCACAGTCTCTGTCTCCTCCTTTCTCCTCTCCCCTCTTTATGTCACTTGCCCACTTAAGGAGCCCTCTTACATCCATCTGATGTTATCAAAATTCTACTTGCACATCTAAAAACCTTCTGCATGTATTTGTTATCTTGACCCTTGATTAGTTTCTCTTTCCTTTTATCACACTTCTTCCTTTAACTTGTGCCTTTTTCTGTAGCTTACACTGTGCCTCTCTTTAGCCTAAAGTATTTGGGACAGAGAACATATCTCACTTCAAATTCATACAGCATAGTTCATATCTATAGTTACCTCTGAATAATAGCTATAGCATCTCGTAGATGATAGCACAAGATGCCATGAGTAGCTAGTACAAACCATTATTAACAAGAAGCTTAAGGTAACTGACAAAAAACATTACAGTTTTCAAAGGTATTTTGAAACCATCTAGTGACTCAAAATTGTGAATGATACCAAGCCCACATAGGAAGTCTGAAGCTATATCTGCCTGCATCAGAGGGAACT